TTCTTTTGTTAGTTCATGGTGAATAACAAATCTGTAAACTTCCGTGAAGCTGCGAAATGGTGCTAGTGAGCCACTTGGGTAACAGGAATTCACAGATCTCGACAAGGTGGCCTGTACAAGCTTAGCTGAGTACCATTCGGTGCCCCCACCAAGCCATTTACGCCCATGAGCATTGCCATGTCTCGCCCTTTCAGTTGTTGTTTCGTCCCCTTCCCAACGAGTCGGGTAGCTATCTTAATTGGAAATCTAGGCGGTTTGGGTGTGACCGTTGGCAATCCTTTGGGAACTTTTGCTGTGGGTTTTCTCGTTTTAGTGGAGAAGTAACGAGCGGCCATACCGGACCTATTAATATGTTAGTGTCATAACCTCCCTTTGATTGGGTACTGGAAGTAAACCAGCGGCAAGAAGCGTTTTAGTAGGAGTTCATAGCCCTCAAGATTGATTACAATGCTCAGCTGAACTCTCCTTTTGCCAGGAAATGTTTGTCATAAAGGCAGAAGATAAGTGAAGGGATCTCATTGGACCAGCACTTTGTTGGTTTGTTCTGCACAGTAAATCGTTGTAAGAATCCGATAGGGGATCGAATTATCCCGTTGGCAAAAAAGTATTTTTCTTCAAGAAATATTTTTGCTCCTGTTGGACTTTACCCACTTCACGTGCGCTATTTGGCTATATGGTAAGACGGTAGGAAGACCCCTCGAACAAAACAAAGCAGTTTGTTCAGGTTCAGAGACAGAAGAAGCCACAGAAGCTCTAGTATGTATGTAGCTGCCGGACCGGATATCCTGGGGCGGGACTTAGTAGGGCCGCCGCGAACCCGTAGGTGAACGTGTCTAGGTCCAAATTCCTGAAGCAGGACTTAGTAGGGTCGTCGCGAACTCGTAGGTGAACGTGTCTAGGTCCAATATCCTTGCAAATTAGGCTTCTGAATTCAGATTAAATTTGATTGACATTCAGGCGCGTTGAAACGGATCACACTAGTCGCCTTTTTCGCGCTCACACTATTCGTTTATTGAACAATTTATACGCTCTGCTGTAGATGTCTACGAAGTCCCCTCCCCTCCCTCGATGCTCTCTCCCATTCGAAATAGTTCATAGAAACTGGTCTTCCGAACAATGTAGATGGACGAGGTGCTATAAGGAAGTCCTGAAGTGGTGACTTTTATACGGAGAAAGTGTCCCAGCGAGGGACTATTAAGGCGAGGGCAGCAGGGCTTAGTTCAGAAGTGGTTTGAAAATCCCTGGTTACCTCCGGGAGCTAGGCATGATCATGTGGCTTTCATAGTTTCAAAGAAATTAATTGGAAGCGATGCTTCCCTGAAAGGTCTATTAAGGTGTGCTTACCATTCTTATCTTTCCAGTTGGTGATACCTGGAGTGTCAAAAGACTAAGAACATGACGCGTACGACTGGATAACAAGTACTACAGGAAACTAGACACTGTTCAGTTTGGAAGGGACATTTTGCCCTTTTTCTAGTTCCTTTACTAGTCCATGGTGTCAACTACTAGGGTTACACTTTTGGGTTGAGACCTGTATATTTGGGTCGCAGTGGAACGACGGAGTTGATATTATCTTGCGCCCACAGCTGATTGTAGGAACTCTGAGGTCTTCACAAAGCGGCTAGTCTGCTTTCGCTACGTTTCATTCAGTGTCCCCAACAAGCCGAACTGCGCCCAAAATTACCAGTCAGGCACTCCTATCGTTCGACCAATAACTCTTGTGGTGGACACTTTTTTTGGATAAAAATGAGACTGAGTGCGTAGGGGCTCATCCGGTTCTAGAGCGGGCGGAACGCCCAGCTGGTGCAAAATCGCTTCGCTGAAAAAAGGGAACAGCCGAGATAATTTTGGGTTATACTGGTATTGGGGTTTGCAAACTGGTTTAATTCTGGGCTACTAGAGTCGATTTCGGTGCTAACATAACTGATGGGGGGGGGTTGGGGGACAGTCGACACCGCGTCTGTCTCCCTTCCCCAAAACAAGGCTTAGAAAGTGACGACTGAGCCTTTTGAATGAGATCATCCCTCCATGACTCCGGCCGCCTGCGCAGCTTGAGCCGTGATTAGGAGACAGAACTTGGAGGAGTCTAGACTGGTCCCCGGTGCTTCTTAATGCGTTGTTTCAGGTTATCTTCATCGGATGATTGTCAAGTTGCTAATATTCTGATCGGTTCCCCTCGAAATCAATAGACTTCCATTTCATCCGTACTTTGGCGCTGGGATGAAAGTCGATGCTTGTCGGCGCGAACGGTGTTTTAGATCAGGTGCGGAAGTGTGTCGATGTGTTTGACGGTAGCGCCTTTAAGTGAAGTTCGCCGTTTTCGGCGCTTTTCAACGCTTTCGGCCTTTCAGCCGGCGCAGAAAGTGATTTGGAACCCATGCAAGGTCGACTACGACAAAGAACGAGGTGAAGTGAGGTGGTGGGGAAGGGAAGTAGAGGGAGGGGGTCAAACCCGTTTTGGGTCCATTAATTATAGTTTGCGTCGAGAGTGGTTAGGAACATAAGCAGAAGGGAAAGCCGTCAGTGCAGTGCGCAGTAGCAGGAACGAGTTCATTCTGACCATGGGAGGTGTGTTTCTCCTGAAGGATTTATGTATGTAGGATCAGTAAGTGAGGGAAAGGGTCAAGAGTGGATGGTGCCGCGTTTTTTGCTGTTTTTCTCTGGAATTTACGAAAGATGTTCGCCCAAGAAGGAGGCCGTTCAAATGCTCTGTCCCGGATCTTGAGGGCGCTTTCTCGCAAACTCCTTGGCGGACCCACAACAGTTGGTGTTCATTGCACACTTAACTTTCCCAATTGTTGCTATCCCTTGGAAGGTCGTACGGTGGCATAATGACAACTGGCACCGTGCCATTTGCAACCGCGCAGTTCAGATGTCAGATCCTGCGTATGCCTTCGCACAAGTTAACTTAACCTTCCATTCCTCCAGCTTCAGTTGCTTGGTCCATACTTATCTATGACGACAGAGGCTCTGCCTTGCCCCTTCACCAGCCGCTCCTGTAAAACACCATTGGCGGCAAGTGCGCTCGCGCATCAGAGTCCCAGATCAGCTCGCCAGAGCCAGCAAGTTTTCTACTCTTTCCAGATACGCCGGTAAATTGGCTACCCGATTTCCTCTGGCAGGATGAGTAACTTTTGCGCTGACCGCCAACAGCTCTTTCTTTGGGCTATGCTGCATTCAGTGAACCACTTCGATTCTGAATGGAAGTTGAATGCGCAGCGCATCTCAGAAAGGGCCCAACCATCGCCGAATGGTTCACCCTTCTTATTTGCGAGAGATGATGTCCATCAGGTTGAGCTAGTAAGCCCTGCAGTTACTAGTAGCCCCGCAAATGTCCACAAAATTTCTGTTAAATTCTCACGGATAAAGCGGCTTATAAAAACTTCAACTCAGGGGGGAAGGGAGTTGTCCTTTTGTCAATCTTCAGGTGATCTAGAAAGACAGGAACCTCACCTGAGTTGAACTATGTTCCCTTTTTCCTTCATTTTTCCTTTTTTCCTCGTCGCAAAAGTGAATCATCAGAAGAGAGATCGCTGTAAATATCAATCACACCTACCGACCGCAGTGGAGAAAACGGGGTCAAGCTGTCCACGACGGGGTTCGAGCAAAAGGTTGACAGTCTCGATTGACATTGCGCTGTGATGTTGACACACTAAAGCAACAGGCTTCCTTCCACTCCTGTTTAGCGCCGTTAAGAACCTCTTCATCAGTTGACAGTGACGCGGTGTAGAAGAGGATATGAGACGGGGACACGAGGAGTGTGTGCGGATAGTGGTTTCGAGGCATGGGGTGGGGACAACAATTCAAGAGACGCTCGAAGACCTGGATGGTGGGAATGGAACGAGCTCCGAGGGGGAGAGTCTTGTTTTTTTTCTTTGGATTTTAAGCGCAGTGGTATGGGTCTAGGCTTTTTGCCGAGGGTCCTCAACTATACAGGGCAGTAAGAGGCTGCGGAAGGAAACGTCCGGAACTCAGAAACGAATTCCAGAAATTTCCCTTATGGGCCCCATCGTCGGTCGAGCATGGCTTCCGAGGTGAACTGTTGGGTCATCAAATTACGTAAAGGTCAGTTGCAGAGGAAGAGGATCACTAGGGTGATTCTCCTCCTGGGCACCTGCGCGACTGCCCTCCACTTGTCAGGGCTATACCGGCCCACGTCTTCACGGTTTTGGGGGGGTGGGGATCTTCGGCCTCTGGAAAATGTTCGTAAAGGTTACTAACACGGTCCACAAATGCCACCTCGTGCGCTGCCATTAGCCCGGGGGAAGAGGCTTTCGAAACGGCCAGTTGAAGACGGTCGGTACACTGTAGGTGGAATTAGCCGTAGCCAAGGCCATCGACTTGCGTCCGTTTACGATTGCATAATAGTGCTCGAACTGGTAAAATTTCTCACTTGTTTGTCCTCCGCGGTCCCTCCGAGTCTGACTCGATAGACAGCCCCCAGGGGCTGCGTCTCGTTCACCCCGGGGGGGTCAGAGTCCTGTGAAAAACCTGTCCTGAAGCGATTTTCGCCAGCGGCAGATCGCGCAGAGTAAACTATCCACCGTGAATACTGCTAAAATTACTGGGTTTACGAGTAGTTGAGCCCTATTACATTCTCGTACTGGTCTCATGTGGAATCAGGTTTCGTAAACACAATCTTCGAAGAAGTATGAGTTTTTTGGAAGATTGGCTTGTTAACGAAATGCGTACAATCTGTCTGATGGAGCAATCAATGAAAAACTGAAATGTTAATGAAACACTAGTCGCCTAGCCGGTCCCAATCCAACCTTCGTTGATTTTTTGCCCACATTAATCGTCCCTTGGTTATGTATTCATCAAGGGAATCACATGAGACGTGCTAAAATAAAAATGCATTGAGGGGAGATGTGGGAGGTGGAAGGCGATGCATGGGAAGGTGAGAGGATCGCGCTGTTGTTATGAATAATGGAAAATTTGAAAGTGGCGTCTTTTATAGAAGACAGGCAGTTGCGAAAAACAATTTTAGATTATCAGATTAGATGGAGTTTTCATTGACTATCCTGCTAGGGTAAGTTATTGGTAGGTAATTTCCTCGTAAAACGTTACGCTGGAAAGCAGAAAGCTCTCAAAAATGGTATACTCGCTAGTATCCGCGTTTGCGTTCTGTGGAGCAATTTCAACGCAGGGAAGCAGCAGTTTCAATGCAGGAGAGCCCACTATTTTTTCCTGAGCCGGTCAATGGGCAATGGGCTTCTCAGCTCGGTAAGCTCTTTGAAAAGGACATCGGACGAGACTTCAGAGGTTGCCATTGGTGGTAACCGAGTGCGCTTTCAAAGCTCCTCCAATTTTGATTGGAAGTAAACCTCGTAGCTTATCCAAAGTTGTGTAATATGGCCACGCTGGCTTGGACACCAGCTGTTGGGCTGCCGTACAGGGTTGGTGCGCACTCAAATATCTCGGAACGTGAGCCGCAGTCGAGTGCATGGCGCGTCTGAAAACAACCATATCAGGACCGGTAGAAAATACTGTCCCAAGTTCCTGTTTACTATTTCAGCTTTTGTTCTATTTTTTCAAATTTGTTCTTTCATTTTTGATTTATTTTTCTAGCCTAAAATTAGAAGCACTATCCACGATTATCTGATCCCGTAGGAGTCTACTAGTGAAGTGAAATAAATGGGTTCATGTGCGGCAAATGGTATTTCAGAAATACAGTAGTACGCGGCACTGAACACAAAACCGCTCGCGCGCCACCGAATGTCCTACCTCCTAGCGTCGGGTATGGAGCGTTACTTCCATTCGTGGCATTGAGCGTTGTACTTCCCAGCTAGCTGACTAGAGGGACAAACTGGACTGCGATTTTGGACCGCGCCACTCCGTGCCACAAAGGGCTTCTACACGTGGGTAATAGGGCGCTCGCTCTGAATTTGCACGGGAGCTGTCAGTGATGGCAACGAATCTGGCGGAAAAGCCTTCGAAAGGCATATTTTTTACTCAGTTAGTTTTTAATGAGTTTCTGATACCAACCATACTCTATACAACTTCGGTCCAATATGCTGTGTTTCAGGTTCTCAAAAAGCAGACTTTACACGTACATTGGTGAAGTATTAATTGCTGTGAATCCGTATCGTAATCTACCGATCTA